TCAACCGTAAAAGAAAATGACTGGCTCTTATTTTCGGGTAAACACGATATATGGCTTACACCTTCTTTGTTTACTATCAGGTGATAGGTCAAAAGAATAGGAAGAATGGTGGTGCCACAGTAAAGCCTCTTTTAGGGTTATAAAATTTTATCAACAACTACAAAATTTTGGGGGGAAAATCCTACAATATTAAAATATTATAATCTAAACAATCTCACTATTTAAAAAAAGGAGGCACACCCTTTTCCTTCTCCCTGAATTAAAAAAATGAATACGTATTTGTAAAACACTTTTCCTACTAAAACAATTTAGACTACTAAAACAATTTATATAGATTCTAAGGTAGTCAAGTATCATTTAAAAGTATCAAGAATATTTGCTAATGCATGAATTTAAGCAATATTTACTTTATATTTTTCTCTTCTTTTTATTAAGAAATCTGCCCACAATTGTTGGGAGCAGCAGAAAAAAATGGAGAAGAAGAAGAGTGCAGAAGTAAGGAGATATTAAGCAACACAGACAGACTGAATGTGAGTATGAATCTGAGCTGAAGAAATAACAATGTTTTGGGTCATTAACACCAACACAATCCTACTCATGAAACGAAATGCTACTGTGTTCAATACAATTAACTCCCTAGGAATTCCTCAGCTTGTCAAGAATATAAAATTCAAGATCTAAACTGAGCTAAAGCAGTTATACTTACAGAAATAAAAAAATACATTGAGGTTATTTTTGTAAAAGTAGTATGTGTTAACAGTTTTTACATCTTAACTTTTTTTCCAGGAATCATAAAACAGAAGACTCTAACCATCAGTGCACATAATTCAACCAAAGCATTGAATTCTACTGACTTTATGGGTTGTAGATCAGGCTGAATACCTTGCAGTATTGGTCAGAAAATTCATAACCTCAAATTGAAGCTTATAGGGGCTAATATGCAAGCAAGCAATTATATGCAAATAAAGATTGTTCTAAGAAGACACTAAGAGTTTGGCTCTAGAACGAAAGGTGCTGCTTTCTAAAATCTTTTTTCTATCAGGAACTATGAAAAAAAGTACATTAGGATTTTGGTTAGCTTGCTAACCTAAAAACTACATTTACAATACAAGACTTCTTGCCATTTTATTCTCACATCTGTTTAAGGTTCAAGGACATTCTATGAATAGAGACACCTGCTACAGCTAAAGTGGTATATGGACTGTGTTTTAAAAAATGAGCTAAAATTTTGTATAATCAGTTTCTTAAACTGTCCAGGTTTGTAGAATATGTTGATCCACAAACCAACCTCAAAAACAATTATGGGTAGTGAAAAGAAAGAAAAGCAAATGAACATTTATTTATTTTATACAGTAAACCTCAGCTTAATGAATATTTGTAAGTAAATATTAATTCAGTCCAAAATGTAAGTATTTGGATCAATTATACAAATAATAAAACTAATGCAAATGACTGAAGACAGTTTATACAAATCATCTGAATTATTTCATATACAACAAATGTTTTTATTTTGAGGTAATGCCCAAATGGAAATTTTATCCACCATATTAGAAATCTGCTTACTATAGATCTGTTAAAATTGATGGTTTAATTCATTTATAACTGGTTTTAAAGCGGAATCTTATGTTATTCTATTACGAGATTGGAAAAATCAGGACTAAGCAAAATTAAGGTTCCCTACCAGAGATGCCAAACTACTATGAGGTACTTCTATAGTAATAAATACCTGGCTGTGACTCTCAGGTGCAAGTTTTTCTTTTTTAACCAAAATAAAAGTTAAATTGTCCCTTTCAGCATAAGGGACAATTCTTTTAAAAACAAGAATTCAAAAAGGTGATAAAAATGGAAAATCCAATATATAAAAAACAATGTAAACTTACATTACTTATGCACCCATTCATTCAGTTTACATAATTGACCATCTCAAATATGTGATTCATACACTTAAAAACAGAATATAGTTAGAAATAAACAACCCAGATAAAAACCACTAAAAACCAAACAAAATTTAATTTGTAAGAGTACAAGCCATATGATTGACAATACAACCAGCAAACAGGCTCCATTCCATCACCACTTGATCTCCAGTCAGTATGATGAAGTATGTTTTGAGAACCTTCTGAAAGGCCAGCAGACTCAGGGCCACTATAGGTAGTCCTCGACTTATGACAATTGAGCCCAAAATTTATTTTGTTAAGCAAGAACTATGTTCTGTCCCATTTTACAACCATAGTTGTTAAGTGAATCCCTGCCATTAAGTTCGTAACATAGTTAAGTGAACCTGGCTTCCCCATTGACTTTGATTGTCAGAAGGTCGCCAAATGTGATCACATGACCCCAGAACACTGCAACCATCATAAATATGAGTCAGTTGCCAAGCATCTGAATCTTGATTTTATGATCATGGGGGTGTTGCAATGCTTGCAAATGTGAAAAAGTCATAAATCATTTTTTAAATGCCATTGTAACATCGAATGATAATTAAATGAATGGTTGTAAGTTGAGGACTACCTGTATAACCCGTGGGGGAGGGGAATGATGTTTCAAGCAATAAGTGCTGCAGTAGTAAAGGCTCTTCTTCCAGCCTTGATGAGATAAGTAGTTGTAAGAGAGGAGAGGTGATCTTTCAAATAATCTGTCCTCTTACAGTGTAGAGCAGGGGTGTCAAACTCGCATCGTCACGGCGTCATCACATGACGTATCGTAACATTGCCCCCCTTTGCTAAACCAGGCATGAGTATGGCCAGCACGTGATGCATCTGGCCTTCAGAGCTTTAGAAGTCATTACTAGGACTTTGAATTCAACCTGAAAACAAGCTATTTTGTATTTTACTTCAATAATTAATTCAAGTATTGCCAATTTTAAAATGCAACAGCTATGACACAAAATAACACATTATCACATGAAGTACGAAAATGTTACAACTTTTCACTGTTCAGTAGAATTTAATATTTACATTCTGCAAGCTGATTCAGCAGATGACTACAATCTTTATAACAGTCTCAATACTATAAATGTCTGTGGTTGTTTTTTCTTTTGCTATCTAATTACTAAAATAAGCAGAGTGCATCAATATAATGGGGTGACCCTTATTGTTTTTTACACTATGTATTATGTCCAAATATTATTCTATTCACTTATATAAAATTCCTTAAAAGTAACATGTATACAATTTTATATTATTATAACTAAGATTTGTTTACAGCCCAATCATGGGGAGTCCAAGCAGCTTAAAGCAATAAATAAAGGAAATACAGAAATGCCTTCAAGTTAGTCTTAATTCCTAGCGACATGTTGGAAAAGTCCCTGCAGTTCTCTTGGAAACATTTTTGGAAATGGTTTGCCACTGCTTTCCTTCTAGGACTCAGACAGAAAGACTGACCCAAAGCCATCCAGATGAACTTGTGCTTAAGGAAGCACTAGAGCTGTCTCCCAGATTTTAATCAACATGCCAAACTGGTTCTCATATACAGATATGATTGGCCATAATGTTTTAATTCTTGAATTATGCTAAAAAATGGCACAAAACCTTGTGACACCTAATATGGGTTGGGGGAGACGGTGTGGATTCACACCTATCTCACAAAATTTATGAAGTGTTACTGTGTACACTTGGCTTAGAATATGGCTGTCAATCTGGTGGCCCGCGGGCTGGATGAATCACGTACAGGCCACCTCCACCCCAGATCTGTGAAGGGGGGGAAACATCGCAAATTATCACATGACACAGCGAATTTCACACCGGTGGCTTAGAAGCAATAAAGACAAAAAAGTAATTATATGGAGGAAAAAGACACAGTGGCACTGATACTATCACAGACTCTTCATAAAGTTGCGATACCGACAGAACAAACTTGAAATTATTAAGTTTACACAATAGTTTTAGTGATGGTGCAAATAATCTGCATTTTAAATAAATTAAAACTTCTACTATGAACAAAACCTCATACTGTAATTTCAAATCACCATATTTATTTAATGAATTTATATAGAAATGTCTAACTCAAAGTTAATCTGGGCAGTATACAGAAAAAAGCCAAAATATAAGCGTACAATATTAAACACTTTTCAATAAATAAAATTAAGTTCCAAGGGGTTTAAACTGTGATTCACCCATTTATATCATTCTCTTTGAAATCAGATAACTGCCCCTTAAAACTCAGTGCAGATTGTCTTACAAATTTAAAATAATTTTCTGAACATTACTGTTCCAATCTGTTGTTCTACTTGACATAATACATAGAACTCACATACAACATTTATTTGTAATTAAGTAAAGATATGAACTTAAGATTTTAAGATATTACAAATGCAAGGAAGGCTACATCAAAGAGTGCATGAACATAAGTTGTCTTGTAGAACAGCAAAAAAGAGCCCAATTTTGAAGGTTTATGGAAAGGTTACCTATCCGAATGATTTCAGAAATCAACCATACCGAAGGATTTAAATAATAGTATTTCAGTTGTACATTTTTAAATTGTTGCTAGAATCTTGCTTGGTTTGTAAGTAATGGATGTATCCACGCATATATATCCATAGGTAAGTTAATTACAATTTATTCCATTAACCTATTTTTAGAAATTAACACGAAACACACTATACAGTACACGGGTTGAGTTTGCCTAGCACACAAATGCTAAGTATGTAGTTTTGTTTGATTGCATCGTGAAAATCCAGACCAGTTTCCATTTACAATATCTTCTCAAAAGGGCAAGCAAGTTCAGTTGCGAAGCAGTTTGTAAAACCCGAAAAAAGAGAAGGCAAAAACTTTCAAAACTCCCCAGAGGAAGACGACCGGAGGGCATGCGTCTCTCGGCTGACGAGGTTTGCCCGAAAAGGCGGCGGCATTGCTCCCTGCCCATTTCAGTGGGTGTAACAGGGGAGGCGAGAGCAAGCTAGACGGACGGACTGACGGAGACAAGGAGGGAGGGAGGGAAGGAGGGCGAAGGAGGGTGCCGGCTCGCCCGCGGCCCAGAACAATAGAAAGCGCCTCACTCACCGCACACGCAGCAGGAGAGCGACTGCCGGAAGTAGGGCAGCAGCTTGCCGATCTCGGCCAGGCACTGCGGATCTTCCCCGGGGCCGTAGCTGAGTACCAGGCGACTGGCGGAGATGTACAAGGCTGTAGCATTCACCGGGTTCATCGCAGACGCTGAGGCCAACGGCTCCGGGCTGAGAAGAAAGCGCGGCTTCGCGCCCAGGCAGGGCAAGCCGAGGGGCGGCTGCGCTCCTAGCCCCGCATCGACGCGCCGTCACAGCCAGGGCCGGGCCTGCTTTTCTCCACTTGCCTGCTCAACCCCCCCTCCCCGCCCCCGCCACTGCCACCGCCGCAGCTCTTCTTTGCTACCAGCGGCGGCTCCCCACGGATTACTCCCGGCGGCCGGCCATGCCGGCCTTCCTCCCTCGCCCTCCCCGGGGGCCTCAGGCGGAGGGGAGGCCCCGCATCGGGGGGCGGTGGCAGGATCCGCGAGCCCGGCTCAGGGAGACGGCCTGGGCCCGGCTCTGGTAGGGGCGGGGGAGGCTGCTCCGCCTAGAGTTTCAGCGCGTCCATATTACCACGGATTCCCTGCGCCTCTTCCGCAGAGCTAACGGCTTTGTCGCTCCTAGCCGCCCTCCGCGCAAGAGCCATCCACCACACGCCCAGCTCCAATGTCAATAGCAACCGTTAGATCCAACCGTCACTGCGCAGCCATCACCGCGGCCGCTTAGGTTCGGTACTGCGCATGCGCGGCCATTCTCTACCTCATCGCACCCACCCCCTTCGCGTCCTCTTGAACACTACGGCCGCCGAGAGAGCAAGCGGGGTGGGGTTCCGCCCTGGGTTGCGCCCTCTCGGGGCCTCCGCTGAGCTTTGCCCCGCTATTCGGAAAAATAAGAGAAGCCGCTTCGTTTTCCCATTCGGTTTAGCAAAAGATCCTCAAAAGGCTGGCTGTCTGATATTCAACTTTCTTGCTTATTAGGATGGAAGGTTTGAGTTCATGATAGTACCTCTTTGAACATGGACAGAGTGCCCTTGCCTCTCAGTATGGAGGAATCTTTGCATTCCTGTGTTGATCCCAGGAACTATTTACAACCAAGCATTGCCGAAAACAACTTGGTTTAAAATAATACATTCGACCACAGCACTATGTCTATGATGGGTTTCCGTAAATTACATAAAGAGAGCTAATGAATATAAAATGAATTAAATGTATGTACTTCCCCTCTGCACAATGTTCATTACGCAAATTACCTGAAATCTGTATTAAGACGCATGGATGAATTCTGTTAATATGATTATCACTCTTCAAAAGAATGAATTCTGGATCAGTGTACAATGTCTACTTCCTGCATAACTTCAATGTCAGTGCATAGGCAAGTGAATAAAAACAAATTGCATTTTGTCTGAAAATTCTGATATGAGTCCAAAGTGGCTTAAGATAAAAAGAATAAATCAAGAACAAATGCAATAAAATCTGAAAAGAGATGTTATTGTGGTTTCATTTCCATAAAACAGCTAACATGTTAATCTTGAGTCTAGCAGGTGATTATAAATTACTGAAAAATAGCTAGGGTTGTCATTAGAACCAGTCATCTTGGATAAACCCAGCCTCCTTTGCAAGGTATTTGGATTATAAAAGGAGGAAAAATCTAAACTGGTTCTTGCAGCCATTACTAATGGAGTGAGTGGGTGACATCCTCACCCATCGCTTTTCTGCTTGTTTCACCCCACTTTGCACCTATAACGTAATGAAAAGAAAAATCCACAGACTGGTTTGCACAACATAGCAGTCTGGGCTAAAATGGTAGGATCATCTGGTAGGATAAGGATAAATCTTTTCTGTGAACCTTGTCATTGTTTTTGCATATTGTGTGAACAAGACTATGTTTGAGCCAGTTTGGTGGTGTGGTTGAGGTGATAGCTTAGGAACCAGGAAATTCTGAGTTCCAATCTCAGTCTAGGTATGAAAGCTGACTTGGTGACTGACCAAGTCACTCTCTTAGCCCAACCCACCTCACAAGAGTTGTGGAAGAAAGGAGGAAAGAATATTAAGTATGTTCTCTATCTTGAGTTATTTTTAAAACAGTAAAGGTGGGATAAAAAAAATACAACATTGTTTTTGCATAACAGGTTGTGCTGTTATCACCTTTAAAAATGCATAGGATCAGATTACTTGTGGAACCACCTTTTCCCAAGAATATCTGCCTGTAAGTTCCCTCTTTTAGATCTTGTCACCTTATGGAACATGGGAAGTGTGCCTTTTCAGTGGCTGCCTCTGTTCTCTGTTACAATCCTTCAACTCTGCTCACCTATAGGATAGCCATTAACACTTGGCTTTTCAACCAAGCATTTAGGGCAACGAGTGGAGCTGTGGCAGCGCAGTGGTTAGAATGCAGTAGTGCAGGCTGCTTATATTAACTTCTGGTTGCCTGCAGTTTAGCAGTTCGATCCTGATTGGTTCAAGGTTGACTCAGGCTTCCATCCATTCAAGGTTGGTAAAATGAGGACCCAGATTGGGGACAATATGCTGACTCTGTAAACCACTTAAAGAGGGTTGTAAAGGCACTAGGAAGCAGTATATAAGTAAGTGCTATTGCTAGAGCTATTTTAGCTGTTTTTATTATGGTTGCTATTTATATTCTGAATTTCATATTCACATTTATTGTGTTTTTTTAACATTACATGGTTCTTTTCTGGTTAAAACTTGTTTCTTGTATACTACCCAGTCATATTATTGAGTTGAGGGGGGGACTTATAAATTCACTAACATACAAAATAAAGCAGTTATATTTGTGTTTAGTAATTTATGTGTTCACTTGTAGTGATTCTGCAAAGTCCTTTTTTATGCTTCATCATTTTCCTATATGACCTCTTGACATACAGCACTATTGTTGTCCTAGTTAAAGATTGGTCTTCATTTTGAATGGTTTTTATAAAGTCTACTTTTGAAAATGTATACTTTAACACTATTTTTTCACATTTTAAAAACATTTTAGAGCAGTTAAAATTTTCTTCCAACTTTTGTTATTAAACACTATGCTATTCTGTTGTACCCATTGGAAACAACATCACTTTGCTTAAAGTTATTTTAAAAAAAATCATTAACCTTGATAAACAACATAATTTTCTTCAACAGAAACTGAGGCAATCAAGGCAATTTAACAATAATGCTTATATGCATAAAGGCACAGAAATTACTAGATAGTTGTTAAAGCTATCTGAAACCATTACTGTTTGAAGATTTCTTAGTCGCATAATAGAATAACTCCATGCTGCAGTTCATGGTGCTACAGGTATGTGTCTATGCGCAACCATCCATTTTTCTATTGTTACTCTATAGCAGGACTGTCAAACTTGTGGCCCACGGGCCGGATGCTTCAATGCTGGCCACGCCAATGCCTGGATTAGTGAAGGGGAAAAAGTCGCAATACGTCACATGACAATGCCATGATGATGCAAGTTGGGCCTTCGGGGTTAAATCCTGACCCCCCCCCCCCATCCAGTCCCCAGAGCACCGTGGCAGCTGCGAGACTCTTGAGTCTGCCTGATAATTGCGGTGCAGCCAGCGCCAGGCTTGCAAGCCTCTGACCTGTCAGGGCTTGCTGTAATTTCAACTTTTTTTCCCTGACTTGGCTTTTGAATTGTGGAGCTGGGCTGAGCTAACCACTTTGGGTCGCACTAGCCTCCTGAAGTGGTGGACAGCTACTGTGGCTGTAGCTGACAGCTTAGGCTGAATATTTTTTATTTTATTTTTTACTTCTTTCTCCCTTTCTCTACCCCTGTCAAATGACAGTTATTTTTGGCGGGCTCAAAGATGGCCGCCAAGGGAGCTGATCAAGAATTGTCAGTTCCTGGTTCTTCTGAACCTTAATCCAATTATGAAGTAGCCAATTATAATCCAAGGTGAAAAATAAAAATGGTAGAGAGAAAAAAGCCCAATAGTAATAAAAAGGAGAAAAAATTTCTTCAGGTTCTTCTAAGCCTTAATCCAATCAATAGTTAAGTAAAAAGGAAGGGAAGAAACAAGAATTTTTTTAAAAAGAACAAAAAAAAAGAGAAAAAAAGTTCTTCAGGTTCTTCACCACCTTAATCCAATTAAGAGGTCTCAAAAATGAAAAAATAAGAACATAAAAATGAACCAAAAGTATGGATGGAAAAAGCAAAAAATCCCAGAGAAGAAAGGAAAAAAAAGGAAATTTTTTTCAGGCTTTCCCTTTAAAATAAAAAGCAAAAATGGAAATATTACAAAAATAAAGTTGTTGTTTTTTTTTTTAAAAAAAAAAGAGTACAGTAAAGCTGGTAAGGAGGGGTAGCACAACTTAAAAAAAATTAAAAGGACACACTGCACTTTATTTAATCATCCAAGGCTCTTATTATAACTCTCTTCTCCCCAGACTTCAAAACCAAGCTTTAATTGTTGATAGAAATCCAGAAGAACACCTGCAATAACACTCTCCCGTGCTCTTCCCTCTTCCCTCTATCTTATCACATTGCAATGTCCTTGAAAGGGAGTCTCATATTTTCAAACCTCTAGTTGACAGTGTTACAAAGTTTCTTTACTCTCACTTTCCCCCTCCTTTCCCAGGCAAAACGTAATAGAAGTTAAAAAAAAGAGAGAAAATATATATATATAAAAAGAAAAGTAACTAAAGGGAGCCTCTAACCTAAAATGTTGCAAAATCAAAAAAGAGAAGAAAAAATAGATGTAAATAAGAAAGAAGCCAGTCCAGTTAGCAAATGTTAAATCGCGATAGAAGTCTAGTAATAAAAATAAATAAAAATAAAAAGCCAAGCCTTACTTTGATGTTTCCGTTTAAAAACCGCTGCTTATTCAGTTCTGTCAAAACTTTTACAGGTTTTTTCTTTTCCTTAGGGTGTCCCTTTAAGTCTTAGAATAATGATAAAAAAAAGTTCTCACCAAGCCGACACACTTTCTCTTTCCAGTCTCTTCCGTTCCGGAGCTGTCCCAACTTCAGCAGCTTTAATGCCTGTCTCTCTGCCACTGGCAAGAAGGGCTTCTCCTGGATCAACCAGGGACTTTGTGGTATCTCTGGGATCAGCAGGATGCGCCCTTCACTATCACCGTCTCTTCGGGACGTTTTAGGTCCGTTGGGACCGTCCAGAGGCAAGGATATCGGCTGCAATCTCAGACCTCCGAGATTGCATGCCGTATCGTCGTGATGTCAGCTCCGCCCTCCCATAGAGAAAAAGCCATAGGCAAACAGTTTGACAGGGCAGAGAGAGATTCCAGGATGGCTGAATACAGAGCCACCCCTCAAACTTTGCTTCTTCAAGATGACAGGCAGCCAGACCAACTGAATATGACTGCCTGGTCTCCTGTGGGCTCAAGTACCCATGATTTGCAGGGTAACCTCCAAATCAGGGCTGAGACCTCTCACAATTTTTCTGAGCCGCCTCAGGGGATCTTGATGGCGACACCTGCAGACCAAGTGGAGCCAGACCTGTGCCTGCAGCCACCTTTACACCTACAGCAGCTGGCTTACGATCGGAGGAGACCCAGATGCAAGAAATGCCATCCTTCATGAGAGCCTGGATCTCTCAGACAGGAATCGCAGGCAGAGATCAACCAGCTGCGCCAGCTGTCTTATTTGGAAACTAGCAGAGGAGTCCTGCAGGGGCAGGGGCAGGCTTCTGCAGAACAGCCGGTCCACTTCAGAGAGCGCTTGGCCTCCCCTTCAGAAAGCAGCCAAATTTATGGCTCCAAGAGGGACCTCCTTCCAGAAAGGGATTTTTCGGATGAGGAGTCGGAGGTAGCAGGTCCCCCCTCCTTTAAGGGCTTTTTCCAGCTGGCTCTTTTCAAGACTCTGCTGGTTAAGGCCAAGACCACGGCTCATCTCAAAAAGGACACAGTCACTCAGGACCTTCCCACTGAGGGAGAGGATCAGGAGGATTTCCTGTTCACTGAGAAAGCATCTGTGGTGGATGCTGTACCTGTGCCCCATATGTTTCTGAACCTGATCAAAAGCAGTGGGAGTCCCCTGGGATGTACACTCGCCCCAGTGGGTCTGAGACTACCTTATTTAATGTGGACAAAGACCGTTTGGACATTATGGAAGTGCCAAAGGTAGATGGCCCAGTGGTAGCCCTAGCTTCCTCATCTGTCATCCCACCTAATGCGGAGGACGTTTTAAAGACAGGGGACCGGAAGGGGGAGATGGCGCTCGGAGAGCTGATCAAGCCGACTCCTGGGCCATCAGAGCATCGATGACCGCATCTTTTTTTACTCGGGCCTCTTTGCAGTGGATGAGGCAGCTACAGAACAGAATCCCACCTGAGGATCTCAGGGTGCATCAGGACCTGAATAAGATTATAGCTGTGGCTCAATTGACTGCTGATGCCATCCTCACGTCAGCCAAATTTTCTTCCAGAGCCATGGCCTCTTCCATAACAGCACGCAGGCTTCTCTGGCTAAGAAATTGGCAGATGGACATCAGAACCAAATGGAAGCTGGTGTCGGCTCCCTTTAAGGGAGAGAGGCTTTTTGGGGAAGCCC